TTGGAGGCCCAGTTTTCTATCTTCATTTTTCCAGGGGTACTGGCAGGGTGGGGGGCAGGGGGATGTGGGTTGGGAGTGAGACACTGGCAGGGTGGGGGGGGCAGGGGGCTGCAGGTTGCAAGTGAGGTGGGGCTGGTAGGGTTGGGCGGGGCAGGGGCTTAGGAGTGAGGGGCAGAGGCAGAGCATGGGCATATCACTGCCCCCCACAAACATATGCCCCTCCCCCTCTCCTCCCCTGCTCTCCCAAGGTGTCCATTTTTTTTATACTGGAAATACGGTAACTCTAAATTGTTGGTGGGGTGGGCGGGGAGAGTATATATGTGGACACCTCGCTCCCACCCTTGTGGGCAGAAGGGCTGGGCAGGTACAATTTGTTGGTGGGTGCATGTCCAGTCTATAGCATTTACAAACCTTAAACGTTTGCAGATCCCTCTTCCCAAATTTTCCTGTAGTTACGTTAAAAAAGTTCTTAATCCCAGTAAACCACACCCTAATCATTTTTGTTTTCTGAATTGCCTCTGATTTAAGATTTTTCTGGTACTGCGATGGCCAGACATGTTTGTAACGCTGTAAAAATGCTCTCACCGGTTTAACTGTATAGTGATATATTCTATAGGCAAGGTTTTATTTAGTATATCCATTTTATATTTTTATTACATACAGTCCAGTCTTGAACCATAGCAAGCACATAAACATACTTGTACACATATACATATACTTTCTTTTTTTTTAAATTGGTCTAAAATAAAAATGGACAAAATCACTTTTTATATACTTAGTTATGTTCCCCTGTGAATCACATTTTTATGGTTTAATTATTAACCCTTGATCAGTGAGGGCAGTGAAAGCTCTAATAAAATGTAATAACAGAAACATTTTTGAGATGTTGCTATAAACAATTCCTTGAAAACACAGCACTGTACAGCAAGTATCAATGCATTATCAGATGGGTGTCATTACAAGTGTATCATGTTGGTTATGATACACAATAAGATACTTTGATGTGATCCCTAGTTCCCAGCTATCAGACAGAAGCCCCATATCCATATCTTTAAATAAACCCAGCAGTGGCAAACAGTATTATGGAAACAGTGCTTACAGAGGAATAACAGGCATGTTTAATCTGTATGAGAACCATGCACTTCTGAAATATAAGTATAGGACTGTGGGGGCACATATAGAAAATGACCTGCCAATTACAGTCTGTTTTTATTATCATAATTAACCAAATTACTGTGATAATGATGAAAACAAAGATTAAAATAGAAAACTAAAAGTACAGAAGCAGCAGCAGAGCAAATTATCTTGATCCCAACAACTTCAAAGTATCTCCAGGTTGGTGATATCCAATGGGCACAGTGTCCCAAGGCAAACTGGAGTAGTACTGATACTCCTATCTCATTGGTAAAGAAACCCTAGGCAGGCTATCATCACAGAACTAGGCTCTGAAGCCTGATCCCTCCCCAGTGGAGTCAATGAATGGTCATATTGATGTAGATACTAAGGATAAGCACACACAGAAGTGATGGCAGGATTAAAGCTCCTTGAGAAGGTGCCCAGTGGTAGCAATGGATGTCCTTCATCTTTGTATGGAAATTCCAGTCTGAACTGATGCCACAAGTCAGATGACTGCATCTTCTACTTGTTTAATTATTTGAGGTTTCTGTTTTGTTTCCCCTCAGTGAATGGTGCTAGTAATTATTTTAGTTTTCTGTCTTAGTGTAATAATTTTTGATCCTCCTCAACATTTCTTAGGGAGATCTAGCTTGATTTGTAATTATTCCATCATTTTCATCATTATATTTGTTTTGGTTACTGCTTTATTTTGTTACAGTTTCTCTGAAGATAATTTTTCTTCTTTCGTTCTATGGTGCCAGGGAAGTATAAATCACACAAGAAGTCAAAGCTCCAGATGCTGCAAGAATAATTTATGAAACCTAAGTTAAAAGAGATGGGAGAAATTCCTTGCTCTAAGGTTGTACTCCGCACTCCCTCCCCAGATATGGGTGAAACACTAGCCCCATTGAGGTCAAGGGAAGAACGCCCATTGACTTCAATAAAATCAGAATTTCATCCACAGTCTATTGGTAGGGACCTATCAAATTCATGATGGCACTAGTCTGTGGCTCCTTTAATTTTGCAGGTTTCCCTGTACCCCCCTCCCCCCACCTCTGCTGATTGGTGGAGGGGCCCCACTTGCTGCTCTCTCCTGATCAGCAGGAAGGCAAAAACTGTGGTTTTAAATATGACACGGTTTTTGCCTCCTGTCGCTGATTGGCTGAGTGGCCCTGGATGGCCCTCCTGTTTGCTGCTGACTGGCAGGGAGGCAAAAATGAAGCCATGTTTAAAACTGTGTGGTTTTAGCTTCCCTGCTGATCAGGAGGGAGCAGCAGAGTCCTTTGCTAATCATCACTGCAGACAGGGGCAAGGTGCACATGGGGGAACATGCAAAATTAAAGGAGCCTCTGCACACTCTATTTCTGCAGTGAATTTGGTAGGTCCCTATCTATTGGGTTTGTTGTTTTTAGAATCTAATGAGAAAAACATTATAATTATATTTAACTGCATTCTACCAGTTTGAGTGCTGTGCTGGGGAGTATGAGATGTTGTTCCAAGTACCTTCTGAGTAAGGGGGCTTGAGCAGCAGTGGGCAAAATGCGGCCCACAGGCCAGATCTGGACTACCAAGGGATTTTATTTGGCCTGCAATGGGTCCCTGCGCCCCACCTGGCCCTGGTATGTGGGCCAGCCCAAGCCATGGCGTATGCAACCAGTCCCACTGCCCCTGAGTGCGTTGTGGAGCTGGGGCAGCATGGCTGCTGGACTCAGCTTTCTGGCAGCCCTGGTGGTGGTGGCTCATTCCAGCTGCTGTTGCCAGCGTTGCTGCCAGCCCCAGCCCCAGCCACTCTGCTTGGGCACCCTGACCCATCTGTCCCACCCCCACTGCAGGGGATGCTGGATGGAGTGTGCAGGTGGGGTCTGCATGGTGATCAGCCCAGGACCCCCATGGACAGGACACACTTGGCCATGCAGATGAGATGGTGCTGTGGGTGGGCAAGGGCTGGTGTCTGGGAGTGGGACAAGCAGGCAGGGTCAGGATCACAGGACAGTGAC